TGTGATGGCGTGTCGGATCAATTTTTAACACCCCTACTTATCTACAATAGATGTTACTCTCGCCATTCCTCTAAAATAATCATTCTTCAATTTATCCTCCCAAATTTTTTCCCACATCAACCTTAACATTATTGTTTTCGCAATGGCCAAATTAGCTCTTAATGACTTGAATCCTTACATCATCATCTACCTAATTATAATTATATAAAATTTACCTTAAAGTCTCAATAATACCCTCTTATTATGCAAATTGACATGCTACCCAATTGTGTCGCCTTTCGTCCCTAAAATGAAGGTTTGAAATTCGAATTATTCATGGTGACTACGATTTTGGAGTGACTAATGAAGAATATAGTCATTTTAGATTTTGTTTTAGCTTATGATTTTGTAATTACTAATATTTTATTCAAGAAAAGATAGGAGAATATTATTACTTATAATAATGAATCTAATAAAACACAAATTGATTATTTTCTTTTGAGAAGAAGAGATCGTAGAAATTGAAATTTGTAAGGTCATTTCAAGTGAAGATTTAAGTACCCAACATCGATTATTAGTTCTAGATTTTAAAATAAAGAGTTGTAAAATAAAGAATACTATGACTCATCACCTTAGAATTAGATGAGGGAACCTAAAATACCCAAATAAAATTATGTTTGAGTAAAATTCAAGAATTCAAAATATGAGATGTTCAAGAAGAAGCAAATGCTATGTGGGATAAAGTAACAAACACTATTAAACAAGTGACAAAAACTATAATTAGAGAATCAAAAGAAAAAATTTATATAAATAAAATTAGTTTTGGTGGAATAATAATGAGCATGAAAAGATAAAATATAATAAGTTATATTGTAAAAATTGGTTAAAAATGTAAAAGCTTAGAGAACTAAGAAAAATATCAAACGACCCGTAAGGAGTTTAAGAGAACAATCTGTGACGCTAAAAATTTTGTTTTAAGTGGACTTTATAATAGATTAGATACTACACTGGGTGAAAAATACATGTATAAAGTAGCCAAACAAAGAGAAAAAAAAAGTAAAAATGTAACTCAAGTAAAGTGTATTAAAGATGAAAATCATAAATTGCTTTTCTTAGAAGATATTCAACATGTGGGTGAGTTATTTTGATAAATTTTTTAATGAAGTTTCTGAAAATACGATTGATTTTAGTGATCTTACTATCGTTAATAATAAAAAACGTTTCAATTTCACAGTCGCATTACTAAAAAAAAGCCGATGAAGCTTTACAGAAAACCAATGCTGGAAAGTCTACAAGACATGATGATATCCCAATTGAAGTGTGAAAATATTTAGGAGTTTTGGGAGTTTCTTGGCTTACTAAACTCTTTAAAATTAATTTAAAAACTAAAAAAATGTCTGAGGAGTGGATGAAGAGTATTTTGATCCCCATTTTTAAGAATAAAGGGGATGCACAAGAGTGTGCAAATTATAGAGGAATTAAGTTGATGTGTCATATTTTAAAATTATGGGAGAGAGTAATTGAACATAGTTTAAGACGTATTATAAAGATTTCTCATAATCAATTTGGATTTATGTCAGACAGGTCTACTATGGAAACTATACATTTATTGAGAGGTTTGATGTAGAAGTTTAGAGATAATAAGGAGGATCTAAATTTGATTTTTATTGATTTAGAAAAAGCTTACGATAAGGTTCCAAGAGATATCCTTTGGAGAGTTCCTGAAGCGGAAGGTGTTGATATGACTTATATTCAAGTCATAAGACATGTATACTAGAGTTGTTACTTTTGTTCAAACTGAAGGAGGATTGACCAAATATTTTTCTATTTCTGTTGGATTACATCAGGGATGGGCTTTAAGCCCATATCTTTTTGCTTTAGTTTTTAGTTATGGCTTTAGTTATGTATGGTCTTACTGGACATTTACAAGTGGATGTACCATGGTGTATGTTTTTTGCTGATGATATTATTCTAGTGGCTAAGACGAGAGAAAAAGCCTAGGGAAAACTTGAATTATGGAGGTCTACATTGGAGTCTAATAGCCTTCATTTGAGTAAAACTAAAACTAAATACATGGAATGTAAATACATGGAATGTAACTAAATACATGGAATGTAATTTTAGTAGGAGTAGCTCAATTGACAGAAGTGTAACTTTGGGTGATCAAATTATTAAAAGGTGTGAAAGATTTAGATATCTTGGGTCTGTTGTTCAAAGCGATGATGATATAGATGGGGATGTTAATAGTAGAATTCAAGTTGGTTGGTTGAAGTGGAGGAATGCTTCAGGCCTTTTGTGTGATAGAAAAGTATCGCTTGGACTGAAAGGAAAATTTTATAAGATGGCGGTGAGACCTGCAATGCTCTATGGCGCTGAATGTTGGCCTTTAAAAAATAAGCTTAATACTAAGTTAAGTGTTGTCGAGATAAGAATGATTAGGTGGATGAGTGGTTTTACACTTAGAGACAAAATGCGAAATGAATATATCCATGATATGGTTGGTGTAGCTCCAGTGACCGACAAAATTAGAAAGAGTCGTTTTAGATGGTTTAGTCACATTAAACGTCGACCATCTGATGATCCAATTAGGAGAGTATATGTTTTAGATTCTGTTTTAGATTCGACATATGTTTTAGATTCGACTTATGTTAAGAAAGACAGAGGTAGACCTAGGAAGACTTGGGCTTATTGGATAAAAAATGATCTTAATTTATTAGAACAAAATGAAAATATGACACTAAATAGGACGCAATAGAGAAAAAGGATTCATGTAGCTGACCCCACGTAGTGGGATTAAGACTTTGTTGTTGTTGTTGTTGTTGTGGTCATCATTTTCAACAAAGATCTTATTATATTCACTTCTAATGCATCTATCATGATTAAAGTCTGTAGATCTCTAATATCTTGTATCAGCTATTTTTTTTTAATACTTACTGAGTACCAATTTTTTCTCTTTTTATACTTCCTAAGTACCAAGTTAATAACATAAATCATCAAAAGTTCATTGTTCTGATGTGACTTCTAACTTTCTTAAAAATCATTATTAACATCAACAATATTTAATAATTATTGTCATTTAAAAGCATATTTTTCTTTTCATAAATATTATTTTATATTTTTTACCCAATCACCAAATCTCCTTTAGGCATACGATCTATTCTAAGATTTTCCTCAAATTTTTAGGACATACTCTCACAGAACTACCCACTTTATCTAACATCGATCGAGTTTGGCTCAGTTACAAAATTTCAATACACTCTTAGCAAAATTTCTTAAAAGATTAATAATTTTGCACATTTCAAACTCAACCACCTTATCCTTTAAGAAAATATCCTTTAGATAACAATCTTCACACACCTAATATGTACATCCACAACTAATGCTATACAATGTGCAATCAAAGTAACTCCTAGAATCTTTCCATCAAAATAAATTATAAAATTTATTATTTAGTAATGCTTTTGGTTTTCTAAGCTTTTAAAACAATTGGCATAGGCATTCAGATATTTGCAGCAGCCGTTCTTGAAAGGCACAATATTGAACTTGCATCTATCTCGTAGCTTCATGACCAAGGCAGCACACCAATAGAGCAATTTGCACATCTCTATGAGATTGACTGTTGAACAATCACAATACCAAATAGCATATCATAATAGCAACGACACATTATTATATGAAGCCTTAGTAGAATGATTAATTGATATAACACAAGTAACATAGGGTCCAATTATCAGAGAAACAAAAAAACTAGGCTACTTAAAGGGAGCATGATAAACATTTAATTAAATTAGAAACTTTTTTTTTATTGCACTTGTATTTTCAATTTATAAAACTTATTTGTATGCTTTGGTTTCATGAAATTTTGTGGAGAAATGTTAAAACACTTTATTCCATATGAGTAAATCTTTACATTTGTATAATAATAAACTTATAAGGGATATAAATAATTATAAATTTATATAATTAATTACAACAAATCAAGCTCATTGGATAGGCCAAAGAGAAGAAATCTCTCTAATTAATTCAAAATAGAGCCCCCCTCTCCCTTTCTTTTTAATTTCTTATTTTATGTATTAGTATTTGTAAAATGATTATTTATTTGTTGTAAGAATGATATTTTGAATTGTGGAGAGAAATTTCCTCATCTTTCAATAGGCCCAGAAATCTGTATTTAAATAAATAATTACATAAATTTATGTAATTAGTTATTTTCCATATAATTTTATAATTATCTCCGCATAAATTTAATGATTTACTCTTGTGGGATAAAATCTTTAAATTTTATCCACAAAGATTTTATCCACAAACTTTCATAAATTAAAACACATATAAAGTCTTACAAATTAAAAATAAAATTTCAATAAAAAATTAAACTCCTAATTTAATCAAATATTCTTTATCTAACTCCTTGTCACTTAACACTATGTTGCATGTTTTGCATCAAATAGAGTTATAGACATGATTTTGTAAGATTTCGTAATAAAGGCCAATGATGTTAGGACGTCTATGAAAACATTCTCAATTAAATTCCATTTGGAATCATGATCAGTATAGCCAAACTCAAATTTATCCAAGGTGCGAACATGATCTCTAAGTACCAAATTGATCAATAGCATAAAAGCCTGCAGATAATGAGAGTAAATGATTTTCACAGCATCTCAAATTTCTTAAAGTGGAGACAGTTTATTCACTACATTCATTACTGTATACTTTACAAGCACTGGAAATGAAGAAATCAATAATTTCATTCTTAATATGACTGAATTCATGATTTTGCAGGCATTTTATGCAAAATGAGAGGATAAACTATTCACACATCTCCAAAACAGTAGAAGACAAAAAAAAAAGCCAACTTTTTTATATCCATTGGAAAAAATAAAACATGGGAATATTTAGTAAAGGTTTGCTACGTGAAAATAAGGATCTGCAATCAGAACCCTCTGTCAAACAACATAAAGGTAAAAAATCAGCACCTAAACATCAACAGCCAAAAGAAAAAATCTTCGTTTAGCAATTTATACCATCACTGCTCTTCGTTTCAGCTATCAGAAATCAAGCAACCTCCCGTCACTGCTAAGATTGATTAAAAACAAGCAAGAATTCCATCACAAGAACATGAAGATTAAATGACAGAGAGATAATCTCAAGTATCTAGAAATTTCTAAATACTACTAAGTTCATAAACAATGATTTACAACTTCAAAATAAAAAGCAGAACTCATGCATCTAGATGCCGCAACTATTCCCAACAGCAGAAACAATTTAAGCCCTAACAAACTCTATAATTAATAAGAAAGTTAACTAAACCACAAAAAAAAAGCTCAAGCAGAACAGAAAGATTAATTAACCAGTTCAAAAGACTAAAGCAGCTAATCAAGAACTCAACCAAAAAAAAAAAGGCTAACAATTCCCTCCCACCGTCATGTTCTAAACGCAAATAGTGTAAACTTTTTTTCCCCCTTTCTGTAAGAAAAACTAATTACTTCTGCAAATCAGTGAGCCCGCTATTTCACCAAGAGTCTTTCCATAAGAAAGAGAAGGAAATCCAAATTCAGCAAAAGACAGAGAGCCATAAATGCAACTCAAAAGCGTTAACCTCACAAGATCGGAAGCCACACTCTCACAGCTTTTCCATGAGACATTAATTTCAGTTCAGTAAAGACAACCCTCAGCTAGATCCGATAACTATCATCCCCAGAAAACCACAATGTCCCACAGCACTTCACTAGAAAGAATCAACAAAAACCTAATACAAGAAGAAGAAGAAGAAGAATACCAGAAATTCTGCGTGCGAAGTCTCCGCACTGTCGCCCCCGCTCACGCTTTATATATAGTCCTCTGCTAAGGCGGAGTTTATCTCCTCCATTATTTAATACTTACAGTCCCTACATCATGACATTAATGAGTTTTTTTGAGAAATAATATTATTTTATTCTACCTTTTGCTTTTATTTATTTTTTAGTAGATGTTATTTTTAAAAATTGAAATTCTTTTTTTTTTAATGTTTAGCTATACAAATATAAAAACAATGGTGTCATTTAATGAATTAAATGTGCAAAAACACTAAAAATGCAAATTTTAAGACAATGAAATTTATTTTTAAAAATAAGTATCAACTTATCAATAACTCTTATGTTTTACAAATATAGCAACTTACATATTTACATTTTTGAAATTTTGGGGTGATAAATTTATGCACGAGAAGGCGTATTTGACTTCTACAAAATTTAAAATTGGTGATAACATTGTTTCTAATATGGTTGTGTTGAATATAAAAATGTTCAGGCGGCACGCCTAATGAATATAGTACCAAGGGGAGGCAGAGAGAGAACAAGGATAGCAAAAGCACATTATAGAACATGAAACTTGTGTAACATTTATTCATGAAATAGATCCATATTTATAGGAATGAGGGGATCTATAATTATACATTTATTCATGAAGAGAGCTTAAATCAACAAGTTCTCAGACGTTGCATCAAAACTCTCACTTAACAGAAAAGACTGAATTTTAAAAGAATAACCCTACGGAGATTTCAAGAGTAGTTTCAATGGTATTGAGACCCCCTTCACATTGGTGTTGAGATCGAGTTGTTCCTGCTCAACACTTTTGACCACCCAGAGTTAGCATGCTTGGTACTACTCTTAGTTTCCCCAAATGGTGATGATTTCTCCATCACCCAAGAACTCAACTACAATGTTGTATGTTTAGAACAAAACCTTGTAGCCGTCAAGCAAGGCCGATTGAAGATTGCTTTGTAGGTTGGCGACAAATCCACCACCATGAACTCATCAATGTAAGTAAGTTGTTTCTCACCTTCTCACAAAGTGATTGCTGGTACAATTATTTTCAGTGCTTCATTCCTATCACCTGAGAGCCCATAGAGTGGTCCAGCTAGTGCAGATAGTCGGTCGACCGTGAGTCCCATCTTGTTAAACATTTACTTGAATAAAATATTCCTAGAGCTACTAAAGTAGACCAAAATAATACATATCTTGTAATTACTTGTCATTCTTGTAATGATGATAGCATTGTTATGAGGGTTCCCTTTGGGGGCAGATCTGGCCTTGTGAAGATGATCGACAAGTGAGTGTGGTGCTTTGGAGCAAAAGCGGCTCCGCATAGTTCTATCAATCAGAGTGTTTTCAGATAGGCTCGCCGAGACAAATTTCTACCACCTCCACAAATTATTGACACTATCCTTATAATGTGCATAACATTTTATCATACTAATTAATTTAGAATTTCTTTAAATGGAACCTTTCCCTGCCTTTTGGTCGCTTTTGGCGCCATAAATTTATGCTTTCTATTTCTTATCAAATCTTCGACTATACCCTAGAGGTGTTGAAATTCCTCTGTATTATGTCCATGACCCCTATGGTAAGCACACTACATCTTGGTCTCCTAAAAAAAAACCTTGATGTTCATTGATGGCACTTTTTTTTAAGTAATCTTTATTTTGAATAACCACTACTAGTTCCACCATCAAGATTTTTAGTGGAGTGACCTTTGTCATGATCATTCAACGGTCGCTCATGGTAACAATTTGGTAGTTGGTTAGGATATGGAGCCTAGCTTTCTCGACCATGATTCTTGTATGCCCCTGTTATCCTAGGCCAGCTAATGATCTTCGTATCATGGTGGACTGGTAAGACACAAATCTTCCCTCTATCTCCATCTATTTTCTCTGGTGGCCCACTTCTGTAGACAACGGGAAGCTGATTCAACTCTAGTTGAAGCATGGGTGGATTGTACTCTTCGACCGAATGTGTTTGTTGGCTAGCTTCAATAATTTGATTAAGATTTTTGGTCGTTGGAGGTCTAGAGCATGGCAGAAGGATCTCTCATTTAGCCTTTGAACTAGGGTATCAAATGCTACCACATGTTCTAGATCTCGTACCTTCAATATTTCCTTATGGAATTATATCTCAAATGGTCAGAGGCTCTCACTTTGCCCCTACATGATTTGTAATAGGGCTATGAACTCTTATATGAGTTTTGGTTGTTAGAAAATTGTGCCATGAACATTCTCTTACAGTTGGTGAAGGAATTATTCACTCAAGTTGGTAGTCCATTCAATCATCTGAGGGCTGACTCCCTCAACATCATGAAAAATAAGAGACACTTTGGAGTGTCAGTAATCCTCAGCAAACAGGTGGTCGAATCAAAAGAGGTAACATGGTTGGTTAGGTCAATTCAACCTTTGTTGGATTACAATGATGGTATCATGAATTTCTTCAAGGGTGAAACTTTAGAAATCTATTGGGAGAAAGCATTCTTCGCCTGATAGGGGGCCTCAGTGTGATCTAATCACTGTCTATCAAGTTGTGTCGACCCCCAACACTGTCCTGGTACTGGGAGTCCACTTGTCTTTTTTAAGCTTGAGTTTTCCTTCGGCTGTTGGGAAATTGACCTCCATCTCTAGGGTCAATCTCCCTGCCTTGAACAATTGCTTCTCGGACGAATTCCATCCTTTGGCTCATCATTTGGTCCTTCAGCTCTTATATTTATTGTTGCACAACTCCATGGTGCACACCATGTCTGCAATGTATCTATGGTGGTTCAGTTCTCCTCATGCTTCTCCACTTCTTATTACTGTCATGATTCACACTCTCTGAACCTTTCAGTATGTTGAATCTGAATTTGTCCTGGATTAACACCGAAGGAATAGAGCCTAGGATAGACGGGAAAGAGAGAGAGAGAGAGAGAGAGCAAGAGAGAGAGAGAGAGGAATACATTGTCATGGTACAAGGAGTTTACTTGTCTTTATGAGCCTGAGTTATTCTTCGGTTGTTGGGCAATTGACCTTCCACTCGAGGGTTATCCTCCTTGCTTCGAGCTGCTACTTCTCATATGAATTCCTTCATCTAGCCCATCCTCTGATACTTCAACTTTTATATTTATTGTTGCACAACTCCATGCTGCACTCCATGTCTGCAATGTCTTTATAGTTCGTCTCTTCTCCTCGTGTTGCTCCTCTTCTTATTGCTGACATGATTCACACTCACTGCACTCTTCAAAATGTTGATTTTGAATCTTTCCAGAAGTCACACCCAATGAATAGAGCCTAAGTTAGGGGGAGAGGGGAGGGGGAGAGAGAGAGAGAGAGGGAGGGGGATGCACAATGATGAACAATAAAATGTATTTTCTATTAGCCTTTATTGATAAAAAAAATCCCTTATTTATAGGAGATGGAGGTACAATGAGTGTAATAGCATGCTTACCTTTGCTTAATGGGGGCGATACAGGGTATTTTAGGTATTTTTCATAAATGAGCTTATGAATCAGCTACCCTATCGCTAGGTTGATTGAGATCAAAGGGTCTTAGTTTGGCAAGGCTCTTCCATCTAACTGCAATGCATTGGGCTCCCGACCAGCTTCTGATGGTCTTTAGATTGGTTAGGCTTGGCTTGGTCTGTTTTTGATGATTTTTTATCGTTCAGACTTGGCTCGATTGGCTTGAGTTAACCGGTTGACTTATCTAGTCTAGTTATTACCTATCAATCCCAGAAGGAAGAACCTCCATCAACAGGTTAAAGCTGGGCTATTGGGATGCTTTTTGAGTATATCATGGTAAAGTCCTCAGCATCCTACTGAAAAGACTTAGAGACTCTTATGAGAAGACTAATAATATCATAGCAAGAGTTGATTTGATGCCTTATATCAGCTTGGTGTATTTTGATCTTTGGCTCAGATGGCTTTCGTCCAATCGACTTCAGGTCTCGATCTAAGGGATCTGCACTTGGTTAATTAAATTATTTGATCTTTTGGTGACGACTCCCAAACAACCTTTTATGAGCCCTCCAGGCCTTATTTTTCTCTCTCTTTATCGTTTCATTCTCTCAAAATTCATGCTGACATATTTATAAGACACAATAAATTAGCATCCATGCGATACTCCCATTTTAAGTCCAACTTTGTTGATTTTAATTTTCTAGGCGCTATCCAAAAAAACCGATGTGGAGATGAACTGATAACGCCAGCCTCATTTAGAAACCACATGCTTTCCTCTCTGTTTGCGGCACTCCCCACAAATTTAATGCGTTCAAATTATATATAT